ACAAAAGCATATTACACTCAATGAAGAAGCTTCAAGCTTTCCAGCACTGTGATGTTCCCTTCCTTGCAGTCACAATTCTTTAATAGCTGTTTTAATGGCTTAAGAGAAGGCTATCGAGGGACATCCTGTTCCTCACACTGCACCTTCTGTAAGGTATATGTCTTTAAGTAACTGTGGCTGTATTTCATACCTGTAAAGGTAATTTGATTTGTAACAAAATATTTATGAGGAAAAAAACCCCAACAAATAGTGACTTTTATTCTGGTATCTCTGGCACTGACCATTTATGTGTCTGGAGTCAAATCAACAGCATAATGCATAAACTGAAAAATAATTTGCATGATAGCATCTTGTTAAGCTAAACAAACCACCTGTTCAAATAAGTAGGTCCTATTATAAACCAGATGTTTGTTGTGCCAAAAGCACACAGAGGATGTACAAGGTAACAAACCACTGTTGGCCAACCTTCAGTATTTGTCAAAACATGCAAACTGTAAATACCCTGCACAAATATACACATCATAATACTCCTAAAAATGGCACTGTTTCACAATATTGCTGTTCAATGTGACCTTGTTTAGTTTTCTCCTATTTCAGTCATTGGTGTTATTTTAGAAGTGCACCAAGCAAACAGAAACCAGAGAATAGCTTGCAACAAAGCAACTGGGCTCTATCTCCACACACACCTTGTATCCTCAGTGTCTGCACTGTGTCCACACGCTGCTGTTTAGAAGGCCATTTTTTAATGCACATCAAACTGAAAATGCCACCTTCTGTTAAGGAAAGGTTAGAAATCAAACTGGAACAGTGCAGCTACAGTAAAGCAAGAACACATTTCAGTCATGAGAAAGTGTTTCTTTTCTGCACAAGTATGTGATAATATTAAGGACCAATGCTGACAATATCTCTTCATGAACTTAAACATCAGGTTAACCTAAAAAACTGAGTAGTGCTCATAGTAAGAGCATGCCCTCATTATCTGTATTCCTACAGGCAGCCATTACACCTACTCATTCTATTTTCATTTTCCTTACATAGCAAAGTTGGCAAGCAAAATGCCTCAAGATCTCCCCCTGGAAAGCTTTTGAATTTGGCCTGTGCTCATAAGACTGTTAAACACTTCTGAGAGTCCCACCATCTTCTAATTCATCACTGTGGTATAGGGAAGCAATTCTATCTCTTTCTCTAGAGTAAAAATATCCTTATACCAGTGGAAATTAAGTGTATTTATAAAAGTATATACAAACTATCCCAGACACGGTGTGAAATCTATCCAGCTCTGAGGAGTCATTAATAATTAAACTGCAAATGTATGCTAAATGCAGGCCATTGTTGTGCTTTATAATCAGATTGCAGTTGCATATTGTGCCCTTTTTAGTACAAATGAAATGATATTCTAAGGTTTCTGAGACCTTGAATTCAAAATACAGATTCTCATGGGCTACAAGGAAATGAAAATAAGCTACTAGTTACCCTGTTTTAGTAAGGAGAAACTTTTTTTTTTTTTTTAATAAAACTAAAGTAATGTATGAAATCCTAAGTCAATAACCACCCAATACTGGAAAACATCAAGTTTTAATCCCTGAACTGCCAATGACCCAATGAGACAGACTGGTTAAATTTGTTGGGGTTTGCTTTTTTTAAGGATTGCTTTATTGTGCTTTTTTATGTTTAGTTTATTTTCTTCTTTTTGGTTTGGTTTCCCCTTAACACCTTTATTTTGCTATTCCATAATTAAAAAGTTGAAACGGCTAACACAACACACCTACTTAATCAAGTCCTGGAGTTCTAAGAAACACGGACAAAGAATCACATGCACCAAAACTTACTAAATTTTCTAAAACCAGGAAGGAATTTTTGCAATGCAGAATCAACTGGATGTCAAAGGAGAGCTTTCTTCCTAGCAATTCAACTTTCCTGAGGTTCTGATTGTCTAAGTACTACTCTTCCATCAAGAAAAGCTCTTTACATTGTCACCAAATTTTACAGGCCATAATTTAAATTCCTCTTAACAAAATGTTTATTAACATATTTTAGAGATACAGATCAAAACACCACAACTAACAAGGCTATTTGAGGACAAGCATTCAAGTATTTAAGAGTATTATTTTTCCATGCGTAGTGTCAGTATGGGACAACCACCTAACTTGGATGCCCACTTAAATCTCTGACTCCTGCTGCTTTCTTTTGTTAGCCTGAGGCATCTAATGATAGTACCCAACAACAATATACATACCACACTGTCCACTTGCACTAACAATACAGGGGACTCATTATTGCTTCGGAAGGGCAATTCCAGTGTTGGCCTCATAAAATAACTCAGAAGAGAGGACATTACAGAATAGCTTGTCTCCAAGTTATATTCCCAAAGAATGATCCCAGGAGAGCTTTATTCTCTTATCTTTACAGTAAATTACTTCTTCTTGACTCAGAGCTTTAAGATTTTATTGCTTTTTAAGTTAGTGATGAAAGATTTAATCACAGATTTGTTAGATTTAGCCCCTCAACACAGGCTTTTCCAGAACCTTCAGAACTCCAGCAGGAGTCACAGTAGAAGTTTCCAACTACAAATAGTACTGGAAAAAATGTTGAATTTACCACGGATTTCCTCCCAGTAATAATTCACAGCTTGAATTTAGCAATAAAAAAAAAAATCTATCATCGTGTCCCCAGCACCATCTGGGAGATCAGGCTTTTGGCAAAGAAAAATGGAGCAGGAATTGCCTAGCAGCACAGGAAATCAATGACTTCCCCACTCAGGGCTGAGCAACAGGCTGCTCCTGCTGAGCACAGAGTCATTCATTTCCCTTCCTGCCAGCAAAGCTGCTCTGTACATGGAGAAAGCAAAGTCTCTGTTACTCCTGCAGGACACACACACACCTCTTCCCCTAAACCTTGATCTTACCAAAGGGGTTAGACAGCGAGCTACACAATTCCATGTGTATATCCAAAAGGGGAAGGAGTGTAGAGATGGTGGTCTCTTGGGAGAGCTTCTGGACATGAGGATTTCAGGCTACAAGGCAGGTAACAAAAACACCACTGATTTAAGCTCAAGTCAAAGCTCATGAGTTGACAAAGGATTCAACTGAACTATGCCAACATAAGGGCCAATAAAATCTGGTCATCCCTTTTGCCCCAGTAGTAGGATAATACCAGTTAATTTCAGGAATTAGAGTTCCAAAACAGGTGTAAAGTATTTGGTGGTTTTTGGTTTTTTTGGTTTTTTTCTGGTTTGGTCTAAGCACGATCATTAAAGAAGAGTTTTAAATAAAAAAAGATAAAAGCAGGGCACATTATCCAGGAGACAACATTGGAATCCTTCCAGGCTGCACTTCTTCAGAGCTAAACCACAAGTTTATTTACATACAAAATCCAAAGCATATGCATTCCCTTTTTACTGAGAGGGTTTGCAGGAACTGGAATAATCACTCAAGACCTTCTGTCAATGTCATAGCAGAGACCACCACTGACCTCTGTAGCTTTAAAATCTCAACTCCTTCCTCAAATTTACTAGTCTTAGTGCTCCCTGGAGCATGAGACAAGGTAAGAAAGGAAGAGCAGGAGTTGAGAGTTTCCCCTGACACACGCTTCACGTTTGCTGCAGACAAAAAGAATTTCACATCCACCTTTTCCTCCAGGTCAAAGTTCCCAATAAAGTCACAGTAAGGAGATCATTGCAGGCACATACAGTCATCAAGAACGGCACTACTGTGTGTAACTGGTGTCAGAGGTTACTGATACAAAACAGCAGACAGAAGGGACTTCTGGTCAAGCCAGATTTGGCCCTGATTTGAACCAGTGTTCTAAATAAGCAGCTTAAACAGCCCTCTCTGAGATCAGAGAGTACTGCTGTAGCTGTTTCTGCAGCTATGCCTGCCCATCAGCCCCAGCAACTGCAGATATGTTAGGACATCACCAGATCTTACTGAGCATTGATTTACCTGTATCAGGCAGATTTGGAAGCATCTCACAACAGCCAACGCTGTTTGTTGCATATCATTGAACCTAGAATCTGTAAAAACACAGCTGTATTACAGAAGAAATATCACGGTCTCTAGCAGCTTCTAGCTTCTCAGGGAGACTTCTTCAGTTTAATAAGTTACATCTGTAAATGCAAATATCTGCCTTATTTCTCTAGAGTCACCATCGCTCTAAATCAATTCAGGTCACGCTGAAATTAGCCTTGCCCTTCAGCAGGTTAAGAGCTTCTCCCATTTTGCTATAATTAATGTATGTCCATAGAAAAATTACAAATAAAGTGAAAGACAAAAAAGAAGTAGGATTATTCTGTAATATTTTTTTTGTGTCCCTCTATCTCCAAGTTCAATAAGAAGCCTCTCAAAAATCTCACTCTGCTGCAATTTAATAAGTCAGCAAAAAAGAGACTGCTTGAAGGTATTTCACAGAAGAAATAACATGAAACCTACAAGAGACCCCTCAATAAATGTGAGCACCACGTATAATCCTACCTGTATTCCTGCAATAGGGGAAAAAGCTCATTCATTTTCTAAACTTGCACCTTCTTCATTGTCCATTTTAGGTGCAATAAGAATCATCATTTAGTCACTCTGGAGAGCAGTAGGTCTGCATTTATCATGGTGAAACGTGTCCTCACTGTTTGTTCTTACCGTTTACGGAAAGCCAAGTGAAATGACTCATAAAACTGCTGCAAGAAAAAGCTGAAACAAGTTAGCAGAATGAGCTTAAGTGACATCCTTCATCCTACGTTTCCTGTGTGCAGAGCCAAAACCACATCACACTTTCAACGGAACAGATTTAGAGCTATTATTTATCATAAATGGCAAGACCCTCACCAACGCCAAGTAATGTTTCATGGTGTTCCTGAGCTGCTCACAGATCTTAAGTACACTACAGGCAGTAGAAGATCTGGCTGTACATTCTAGAGCAAATGGGACTCTTCTCTGCTAATGTACTATTCTTTTCCTTTTGGAAAATTGTATTTTCTTCATACTGAGAATGGTGATCATGAAAATTCTTACCTGTTTTCCATCTAGTGTGTACAAGCGTTTAACCACCCCTGAATCCAGCTTGATGGCATCGGTTATATCAGTAAGAACCTGTTCAAAGGAATGTGCCGTCTTCTTGTTGAGCAGAATCCGGACTGCCTTCCGTGGCTTCACTCCGCTCCTGATGATAGTGACCAGTTTAGGCCTAATGAAATCCTTATTCTCTTTTGTATCTGGAGTACCTCCTTTAGCAGTGGCAAGAGATGGCACTGAACGAGAAGTAGAAGTTGTCTTAACATTCACTGACCAGTTTGGGTTTACATTCTTTGTGTACTCCAGTTTCTTGAAGGGTTCTATGGAACCACATACATAACTTTCCCCTGTGGAAACAAAAGCAAAAGTCCAGCAAGTCAGATTGGAGAGGGAAGAAAAATATAACATCAAATAATTCTCAAATTATTAAATAGTATTCTTATCATTCCTGATCTACAGTGCATAAATATTTATCTCTTCCCTCCTCAGATGCTACTGACTACAAAATGAGTGATCTTTTAAAGAACGCTCTTCAGCTAACTGTTTGAGAAATGCTGTTACGAAAATCCTTGAAAGCAGCAGTTTTCTTATCAGAAAACACTATTTGCAGTGGGGACCACTGCTGTCAGTAAACACAGTAAACAGTGTTTGTATTTCACCAGCAGCCCAGCCCCAGCACATTATCACAGTACTCCCCCAGCCTTCATGCTTAAGTGGCCCACTCCTAAGAAAACATCAGCCCCAAATACTTCAGAGTAAATACTATGAAACATTACCAAAAAATATAGGTTACAAATAATGTTTTATTAAAAAGTGGATGAAAATGTCATGGAAATTTGGTAACATTTGATTTTTTTAAAGCTTTAGGCATCATAAACCCAGGATATGCATAGACAAGAAACCTCCCTGTATTATTTACTGACTAGATATATAATATGTGGGGAAATGAAGACAAAGAGTAGCAATTACAAACTTCTCATCACAACAAATTTACCATACTTAAAAGAAAAATAGTGACTATTAATTCCTCTTTTTGTTGGAGCATTATCTACAGTAAAATATTTTTGCAAATACCACACCCACACAACTTCTGGGGAACTAGAAATCAGCCAGAAAACCCAGCACCATGCAGATTAGCACCTGAATCCAGTCCAGCTGAAGGCTGCTGTCTAAGGGGCACCTGCTTGGGTGCTTCCAAGCTCTCCCTTGAGCTTGGCTCTGTAGCTGCGCTGGCAGTAGCATTGGATGAGTTAGATGAGCTCTGGATCTGACTGAACATACCAAAGACACTACTAATTTTGCAACATCAAGCTGATCCAGTTCCCCCTTTGTCTGGGGAAAAAACAAACAAACAAATAAGCCAAACAAAAACAAACAAACAAAAACCTCAAACCAATACTGGATCCAGCAAGATCACACCTGGCAGCCTACAGTTGAATCACAAATAATGCAAGATCCTATCCTGAACAATACCACAGAGACATCTGAGATGTTTTAGTTCTTCTGGGTTCAAGAGTTCACAGAGGCCTTCATGTCAGAAATTTAGCCCAGGGTAACAAAACCAGAACAAAACTCAGTGATGCACCTCTCATGCCAAAAAACGTGTAAGAACCAAATATATTCCTAATGACTCCTACCCCTAAGGAAAGAGGATTCACAGTTCAATCATTAAAAGAAAATTAAATATTAAAAATTAATTTCTGAACAGAAATTTTAAGGTTTCAAGGCACCCAATCCAATTCTAGAGACATTATAGCACACAAGGAACAGATACACAGAGTCACCACATCTATAAATGGAGACAGTCAGTGCTGGGACTTGAGGCTTGGATAAAGGTAGGCTCTTCCTTTTAGCCACTGCATGTATACAAGATAGATAGATATGTATATGGAAATATCATATACAAATATCACGTATTTGATAGAAGGCTCAGCTACAGTAATGAGTGGCCAAACAGTGCAGGTTCTCTTCTATCCATGTCCTGTCCAATTATTCTAGTATTAGCTACTCAGTTACTGCCAGGTCAGAATGCACCCACCGAACCACATCCACAAAATTAGCAAGTTTTAAGTATAAACAAAAAAAAAAAAATCCTACTATGATTAAGACTGCTCTCAATACAATAAATACCTGTGCTATAAAATAATTTGCAGAAGTCTCTTTTAAAAATTATTAAGCAAAATTTATTCTTCTCAACACTTTATTCTTCTCAACACTGTAAGATGTAAAATCTGTCAGCAACTTCTTATTTTGTTTTTTTGGAGGAGAGTTATAAATCTGGATTTTCAGGTTCAGTCTTATTAGGGAAATTGTTCACTTCAGTTGCAGAAAATAGCATTTATTTAAAACCAAGTCTTCAAATTAAAAGTAACTTCTCAAAGGGTAGGCTCATGAATAAATGTCGATACACAGTGTACTCAGAAGATTTACATTTAATTTTTTAAGAACTCTTTTGGTTCCCCTTCTTGAAAGGACAGTGTTCCACACGATTTTTAATATCAGCTACATTTAAAGGTCAGATGGATTCCTTATAGCATTTAACTGCATATCAGCTCTTCATTACAAAACTGAATTTATATGAATGATGATTAAAAAAGGACAATAGAATCATTGAAGGTTTGGAATTGTTTGAACATAAGCATTTTTGCCCTTTCCTCATTTCCAACAGCACCATATTACATCACTAAAATATTTACACCAAAATATTTTTTTCCTGTCAAGAGGCTCATATTTGTCTACAGAACACCTTGGAGGTAGAGCAGCCAAGGCCTTCAAAGATGAAATATCTTTAGTAAGAACTATTTTCTATAGGTTAACAGAAATATAGACACTTCTCCCATAATGCTGTTATTAAAAACTATTTTAGATGTTAGCTAGGGACTGCCATTTTCACACATGCTGGTCCTAAGGGTCAGGCTTGTAAGAATGAAAATCTTCAGCACCTCTGGTGTTTGTATGCAGAGGAATTCAAATAAAAGGAAAAAAGGTCTTCACCTAGATTTTCATTCTCTTTTTTTTCACCAGTACCTTCAGGAGAGAAGATTGTAAAGAAGTTTCACAAGGGGCATGACTTAAAAGTCCAATAAATCCATCTCCTGCTTTAGCTATTGCTTCCTCATCAGCAGCTTTGTTACTTTCTTCTTCCAGCTGCCAATTACTCAGTCTCCAGACACTAGATTCCTAACAGAACAAGTGCTGAGAAGGATTCTTTGAAGAAACTGGACTAAGCAAAGGGCACAGACAACGCAGCCTATTTAACAGGGTCAATTTGATTGCAGCTCCCCAGGAGAGGGGAGCAAGTGTTTCACAGCGCAGTCAGCTGTCTCTAATGGAATTTTGACTCTTGATTACAGTATCAATAGCCATTAGGAAAAGAAAGGGGAACACCCAGTTTCTTTGGGAGATCTGACATCTAGGAAAAAAAGTGATTACTACACCTTAGAAAGTATCCCTTTCCTGAGAGCCCCTTCACAGCAACAGTGCAAATGAAACACATACCACTGGAACCTTTCAAAAAAGATGCACAGCACTTATTGGTCAGTTTCAAACCAGTAACCCTACAATTTAATTTGTATAAATGCTCAACACTAATGGGAAATGCCATGTGGAATAAAATAAATCTTAACATTGATAAATTAATCATAAAGCTAATCATGTAGAAGGGCAGATCCCAAAACATTGTTTATGCTTAAAAAAGAAAAAGAAAGAAAGAAAAAAACCAACCTACTACCTGCAGTTGCATATTTGTCAAAATTCAATGCAACTGACCTATGAGACATGCAACACTAGAGGATAGTTCTCATGGGTCATGACAGAATTTCAAGACTTGCTTCACTTATTAAATATTTGTAGAAATAATATCTGTGTGTACAAAGTGGTTGATAAGGAGACACTGAATCACTGCACATAAGTACTGGCACTTTTCTGATGCAAGTGTCTCCCTGTTGCCCACATTGGTATTAGCAGTTAGTTTGTTTTCTTCAGTTTGCTGATATTCTCCCTGTAAGAATGACCAAGGCATCATCTCTTAAAAGCCATTTTTTTGTGTTGCTTTTCTGGGCTTAAGGTGACTTGGCCTAAAATGGCTTCAGGAGGAAGCCAGTTATCTTAGGTGGAAACCCTGGAGAAGGAAGAGAGAACCTGTTTGAATCACACAAACAGAGAGGGAACACCAACCACTCTTAGTGGAGGTCAGGATTTGCCAATTTATGGAAAATAATGTTGATTCCTTGGAGTACAGTATGTAGTAGGAATGTAAAGTTAATTTATTAATTAGCAGCAATTTATTGGGGTCCATTTCCCCAACAGATAGGACAAGAAATATGTTAAGAGGATGGGGAGAGACTAGCAACCCCAGCACTCCATGCCTAAGCATACATGCCTTTCTTCACTTCTACCCTTTGGTTTTATACATACAAAAGGTAGAATCTCAATCTCTCAGGAGAAAGGACAAAAAAATCTGACTGTGTCTCACTACACAGAGAAGACTGCAAAAGGAAGATGACCTGAATCAAATAAATTACTGATACTTGATAGTTCCCAAATGTGTTAGTTAATAGAACAATAACCTACTTTAACTACATTGCTGCTGCCTTGTCCTCCTGCAGGGTCTGAAAAAAATGCAACAGTGCAAAAGAGATGGAGCATCTACAGGAAATAAATCTGACCTACACATGTTCACCTCGCAATCAGATGCACCAGAAACTTCAAATAAGATCTCCTCTGACCTTGGAAGGGACTTCTTTCACAAACTTACTTTCTTCTGATTTCAGACTCAAAAGGTTTTTTTTTTTTTCCTCATCAAAAATACTTCCTCCTCTTCTGCCCCCTTGAATTTCTGCAATCTTGTAACAAGTAAGATAGACACTGAACACACTTTAAAAAAAGCCCGCTAAAAATAATGTAAAGCACCTAGAATAAGAAATCACATAGACTTCCAAGAAGATGTTAAGTAAGACACAATGATCAACAGGCTAATGGATGAACAAAATAATCAAATAAACAGTGCCAGAACAAACCTCCACTATTTTATGCAACAGGATCATTCAGCTGTTTGTTTATTAAACAATATAAGAATTGCAGCCATTTCTACCACAGGATTCAGTCCAAGTTTCCCTAAATTTGATAGCCCTGGATCAAATCCATGGTAAATATCCAGTGTAAATTTAATCCTACAAACAAATGTCCACATAGATTCAGATCTACAAACATTTAAACAGATACTTTGCTATTATTATTTGGATAGCACATTACAGATGCACACGAATCTTCCCAGCCCATCAATTCCCAGCTGCTGAGGTAGGCATGATCTAGAAGACAGAAGCCATTAGCTCTAGAGAGCATCAGAGACCACATCAATCAATTCCTACAGTCTGGCCTGGCTGGGCTCCTCACCAACAACACCCAAGTGCTGCTCAAGAGGGCAGCAGGAATACTGGGAAGGAGAGAGAAAAACTGAGATTATGAGAAATGAGGTGACAGTAGGAATAGCAAGACCCACATACAAAACAAGTCAGGAGCACTTGCAGCCCATCACTTCAGCAAGGAGACACTGCCTTTTGAACCCTGCAGTGGCAGGCAGCTTCTCTGCTGCTCTGAGCACAAACTGCCTGCCTCCATCACGAGAGTCCTCATGTGACCCAGCGTTTCCTCTGCCCTGCAGCCAGGTTCACATCTCCCAAGAGTTATTAGCTGGCTACAGCTATTACTGGATTTTAAAACTGGCCTATCTGCATCCTTTCAAACTGCTCCTTCAACAAGGTTTGTGGCTCTGAGGTAATCCCTGAGAGGCATTCATTTTTATTTTTGAGATTATCCTTTAAAATTGTTTTTGCTATTATGCCTACACAAAACATGCAGACACAGACAGAAGTCTTTAGAATTGTTTGGCAGTGCACCCAATATTGACATGTGACAAAATTGTTTCCCAGTATGCTCTCAAGCCTTGTGGTCTGGGGCTTTCAGCTGGTCTTTGACTGCCAGCTCTCAGCTGCAGGGTTAACTTTATGGTAGATATCGTAGAAACCTAAAACAATAAATTCTGATTCATACCTAAGACTCCGAGGTAATATCATGGTAAAAATTAATGAGAAAGGGATGTAGTTCCGGCTGCAGAACTGATTCTGTGGTCTTTGTTCCACACAGCAGGACCCCAGGAGTAAAAACTGTACATATTCTTTGTTTCAAAGTCACCTTGCAATGTTCATTGTTTATTTTGGGGGTAAGACCTCTCCACCTTCAGCTGTAAGGTTGATACAGTTTTGGAGAAGCAAAGTCCTTTCCTGAAACTTCCTTTACAGATAAAAAGCTTAGCCTTCAAAAGCAACTTCATCTTTATTATTTCTACATGCTTTGATTGCATGGCATGTCTAGGAAATAGTCATGTCACATTCAGAATCCATTCTTTAAACATAAGAGGGTCCTAACATCAGGGCTGACAAAAAGAAGGAACTTGAATCCATTGCATTATTTCCTTCATGTAGGGTGGCAGAAGTTACAGACCATGTGAAACTTTTTGTAACAGTACGTACCCCTTGTTATCAAATTCCAACAAATCTCACACGTGTAAGTCTTAAGAAAAACAAAAAAAAATAAACCAAACAAAAAGACGGTGGGCAAAAATGGGGAGGACAAAAACAAAAAAACAAAATCAATCAAACCAAAAACCCACAAAACCCCCACCCCTAGGGATGCCATTACTTTCAAATAAAGAGAAAACATCTACATCACCAGCACACAGCCATGCCAGCTCTGAACTGTATACAGAATGAAACTAAATATAACTGAAGCAAAACAGCTCTTTTACAATCTTTTTCCTTTAGGACTATATTTCATGGAGTTCTGTGTATTTAGCTCTGGGATGAAAGACAGTGGCTGCTGTCTCATTTCCCTCAAGAGCCCCTCTGTCTTTATGTATCGCATGAGAAGGTAAGAGTATAGGAACTTCCTCACAGGCACAAAGGCAAAAACCAATTCTAAAAATCAAGGCTTTATACATTTGCTTTACATTGCAATCACCAAATCAATGTCCCCCCAATCACGTCAATTCATAACAGTCTCAATAAATTAATTAGTGAATTCACACAGGAAGGGAATAGTCTCACCATGAAGAAAGCAATGCTTCATATTTCAGTTGTTGGAGCACAAATGTCATTTGGCAAGAGGGAAAAAACAAGTGATTTTCCAGCTATTTAAACACAAAGCACAGCTTCAAGCTAATTAATGCTGTACCAGACGAGCCAAACTCTAATAAATTTGTGTAGTAAAGAGTGGAAGGGCTTATGCAAAAACCATCACTGGGCTAATAATATATGAACCCGTGCTCCACTGTGAAGTTCTGTGAGTGAAACAACCCACCCTGCAGTTTTATACAAACAAACAGAAGCCCCTTTTCAGATAGAATGAGGATGTAGCTCTCTTTTTCCACACAAAGACTGACTTCTGTAAATCCCACAGTCCTAATGGGACAAGAAAACAAGACTGTCCTCCTTGAACTATACCAGGAAGGGAAGATGTATTCATTGAAAGGGTAAGGAATAAAGTAAGGGTAAGGAATAAAGTCCCACAGGACATAAAGAAATCCCAAATGCCTTCTTTAAAATAAACCTAGGCTCTTGCACTGTCATTCATTTTGACTGACTGATTAATAGCTGGTATTATTCTTGACGAGGATGCCAAAATAAACCAATCTTACAAGTTGCTGGATTTATTTTTGAATTCAGTTCTTTATTTTCAAAACTGGTTCTGACTGGCTGCAAAAGGACTGTGGAAATCAACATTAACATCAATGAAACTTGCTTCTTGTTGAGCATCCCAATCAAATAAGCAAATGCACAAAGACTGCTTTTAAACAGACGTTGATTAATATTGGTCTTTCCTCCCAGAAATTGATTTTCTCTGGCAATTAAATACTGTCCTGACAAATGTAGTTTTAACTGTGCCCTGAAATTGATAACATTGCTCCTCAGACCAGTTTCCTTTCCATTTCACTACACCTCTGGTCCTAACCCCCAAACCTGTTACTTAGACAGACAATCCCGCCCCTTCAATTTTCTTCATCTTGCATCTTCATGTTGCCCCCTACTTTCCTTTTTACACAAGTAAGATTACCAAGAATATTAGGTTCTCAGTACTTAAAAAGCTTTTCTCTGCTATGATACAAAAAGGAGAAAACCCAGTGGTGGCTGAACACCTGTTATGCAAAGCTGTGCTCCTCTTTCAGGAGTCACATTTGGTATTACCCTTTTATTCTTTTCTCGCCATATTAGCCTTCTTCTGATCCTCTCATTACATCCTGTTACTGCAAGTTCTCTCACCTGGTGCTAAAAATGAAAATCACATAGAAATTATAATCTCTGTTACAACTCTAAATTGGCTGTCTGGTGGCTATCTATCCATTCTTTACTGTTTGTCCACGGCACACTGGGGCCAGGGGTAGGATGGAAGCAAAAATTAATTAATTGTTCTACCTTGATTTTCTTGGAACACAATCAAGCCCCTGCATTTAAACTTCACAGGTAAGAAATACTCATTTATGGCCATGTGATAGTCAATGCCTTCATACTCTGTACATTCTGATGTTTTAGACTGCAATCCCACTGCAATCCAGAAGCACATCATGTTGGAAAAGCTACTTTAGCTATTCGTAAAACTTGTGAAAAGTACTATTAATTTTTTAAGTTTAATATTCAAATTGATTGATGCTGATAGTTCTATTGTCAAAAGAAGCTATCACTGAAGGAGTGATAAATTTGTTCTCAATGGGCAAATTAATGACTGGCATGTCTGACATTTGACAGTGACAAAGAATTGTCAGTTCTGACCAAACCACTGGTGATGGTTTATACTGCAGGTACATGAGCCTTATTTAACAGACAACCTAAGATCTCTACAGCTACCTGAAAGGAGGTTGTAGCAAGGTGGGTGTTGGTCCTCTCCTCACAAGTAACAAGACAAGAGGAAAGGCCTCAAGCAGTCCCAGAGCAGGAATATATTGGGTATTAGGAAAAATTTATTCATGGGAAGGGCTGTCAAGCACTGGAACAGGCCATCCCTGTAGGTTTTTAAGATGTGCAGATGTGGGACATGATTTAGTGGTGGCTTTAGCAGTTCTGGGTTAATGGCTGGACTCAATGATGTAAGAGGTATTTTTCAATCTTACCAATTCTACAGCTGGGGAAAAAGGATATGCTACAAAGGAAAAAAGGTTTACAATCTACCCCAACTGAATCACAGCTACAGTATTACTCTTTTAACAGGTTGCCAAAATTTATGCCATGCTATGAGAGGCTAGTATTTTACTTAAGACATATTTACCTGTGGAGAAGAGGTAGAGCTCTTCATCAGGCTTCAGAGATTAAAAAAACAGAAACATCTGAACTGAATTTCACATAGGTTTCATTAGCACCACAGAACATTTGAAGTTTAACAGACTAAACTCTCATTGGTTTGACCTTGCATCTTTATGAAAAGGATTAGATGCAATCTTCAGGATCTAGGACTATCAACACTATGTTGAAAGGAAAAGATCAGACACGTTCAACAAGAAGGAAATAAGTAGCAAGGCAACAATATTTCAAGGTATCATTTAAGAAATCCACAATTCTAGTCAGACCATTGAAAATCCTTCCTTCACCAATAAGAATACCATTACCTCTTTTTGAAAGACTTAAAAGATCAGACAAAGGCTGACTCAAACTTAGCTTTACACCTCCAGATCTTACTGCTCACCTTCTACTAGCTGGTCCAAGGAGGAAATCTTCTTGGAGCCATCAATTGTGTAGATTGTTCTCACTCCCTGGGGCAGGTTCACATTGTCGGACAGAGTTCGGGTCAGGTCAGCCAGGAGAGCTTCGAAGGACCTAAAGCGGTCAGGGGAGATGGCGTATACAATTCCTTTGAAATACCGGTCTCCATTGCGATAGAAACGAACTTTCTTGGCTTTCTTCTCAGAACTCAGGGTCTGTAGAGTGCGGGTTCGGTAAAAGCTGCAGTGGGCACTGTGGGTAGGGCTGGGTAAACCATTCACCCGGGACCCTCTGCCATATCGCTGAGCTTTATCACGCTCATCAAAGTGCTCCAGCTCCATATCTCTCCCAAGGGACATCTTGAAGTTCAACCTAAAGAATGCACAAGAGGACAGAGAAAGAAAGAAACTTAGAAGTTTTAAGGGAGCTCAATTTAAGACTTCCTGTTCTATACATCGCTCTTACAGAGAACTACTTCCTAGGTTGAGAAAAAAGTTTGAATAAAACCATGCTACATTCACGTGGTCATTTCACACACATGCCTCTTGCCATGCTTTAAGAACTACATGTAAGTTAGACATCCTAATAATGTCACTCATGAACCCAAATGCTAATGATAAGCAAACACTGAGAAGTGTTTGTTCAAATTCAGCATCTCGGAAAATGAGGTGACCAAGTTGACCTAATGGAAAAAAGGAATAAATGCATCAGCTTTCTACTTTTTCTCATGTTATATTCAGGGGCTATTTGAGTCTCATCTACCTTCTTGACTGTTTGCCCCCACTAAACTCTTGGTTCCAACTGTGATCTCAAGAGGTGTTTTTTCAGAAAGGCTGCCAGTTGCCAACAACTAAGCAATTAAGAAATTTTCAGAGGAATAGATCTGGCAGGTTGGCAGTGAGAATCAGGACCATCACACATAGTGGGTCAATCCCAAGTTTAAAAACTACCTGCATATTCCAACCATTGGTTTCCTCCTAGATCAAGCTTTGTAATAAATTATTTCAGTTGTCCTTGCACAAATGCTTTACACACTCTGAACCAACAGAACGGCTCAAATTGCACAACATTAAAGAAAAAATAAATTAGGAGACAGTGTTTTTCAATGAGCAAGCTACTTCAGGGCTCTATGTCTTGCAAGATGTATTATTAATATACTAAGCCGAATATTCAAATTAAGGCCAACAGCTTCTTTTGCCATCACCAAAGGAGTGATAAAATCAGTGCCATTGAGCAAATAAGCAATGGGTGTCTCCCATATTTGACTTTGAGGAACACCCGTCAGCCCTGACCAAAACAGTCCCTGTTGTTCAATACAGTTTACATAAACAGAAGCTCACATGCTCTGAAACAAAATCAAGGAGGCAAATACTTCTGTACTTTTTGGCAACCAACACAAGACTAAATAATACAAAGTGCATATTAATCTTCACACACAGAAGACACAAAAATACATCCCCTTTCAGTGAAATTAACAAGAACCTTTGCTGTGGCATTTCACTCTATAGGTTAAAAAAATAATCAGAAGATCATTAGGTTCAAAACATATTCATTGTTATTTAGGAGCCACCTAGATTTGCAGTTGTCTGCAGAATAGTAAAGCACTGAAAGTTTATTTATAGCACAGATACATAAACCTAATTTAGAAGTGGCCTCTCTCATTGATTTCCAATAAAAAGACAGAAACCAGCAAGCACTAGCTTTGTTTCAACCACTCATAATGATGTGACCATTAAGAAAAAAGATGTATTCAAACCAGCTGTAGAACAGTGGGAGGAAATAGAGGAAAACTTACAGATACTCTTTGACTTGCAGAAGTTTGTATTAAACCAATGACTATACAGCTGGACCCTGATACTGCAAAGCTGTAGGTTATGTGCTCAGCAGCTTCTCAGAGCAGTCCATGTGCTGGACCAGCACAAGCAGCTAAGGCAAATGTGGGGCCCTAGTGGAAATTATTGACCCTACTTTGGTTACAGCTCACTGTAACTGACTTTGTTACACTGACACAGGATCATATGCTTATGTATAAATGCAGGATTTATACTTGTAAATCCTTCAGAAGTACCTACACATAGTACAGTGTATGTGTTTTCTTATATACATAAAAAGACGAATCTCTGCTTTTCCCATGCACACTACATCCCATTTCAGTGAAATGAACAAGAACATTTGCTGTGGCATTTCACTCTATAGGTTAAATGCAAAATACAGCTTAGTGGCCACATCTTAGGATTGAGAACACACCACCGCTGCTCCATGTTAAAAAAAAAACAAAAACAAAAACAAAACCAGTTATTTTAATTCAAATCCCATTCTAGTGAGAACCTGATATTCAGATTTAAACAATCCCAGAATGCACAATACAGAAACTGTATCTCTGAAGCAATTCCCATGCCAAGAAAAATGGATTTTTCTTAGGTCTGCTGTTACCTTTGCTTAAACAATCTCTAATATACACCTCTCAAAAAACAAAAAAAACCCAAAAAAGTTTAGACGAAGATATACTCTTTCAGCTTTGTTAATTTTGGATGAGGGGCAAGAAGTGCGAGTCACTGTCCTTTCTTCCACACGTTTATGCTTTTATCAAAAATGCCTGTAATTCCCAACTACATCCTTAAAACCGAAATAGAGCTCCACAGTCCTGGTATGTAGAGAAAAGCGTGTCTAAACCACAAGGTCAGAGCAGACAAAGAAATCCTAAACAATTTGATCTGATGTTTCCGTTTGTGTGTATAAATATATAGTCTTATACAGGCAGATACGGAAAAACGAACAGACACGCCCCTGAAAAACCACCATGCCAACACTTCACACCCTAACATCTGTTAAAGAATTATTTATAATACAGGTGTGGGTGAGCATTTCCATGAAAAAAAACCAGGCACGCTGATTTAAAAAAAGGAAAAAAAAAACCTCACACCACGCCGCGATGTGACTGGGACCCAGCGCAGATCATACGGCGACTAAGCAGCAGGATGACCACTAGTCACCGGGGGAGGGCGGCGGGTTTGGTGGGCGAACACGGACACATGCGGCAGCGGGTTCACTGATGAAAAGATGGGGTTTATTCTGCTGGGCAGGGGAACCGTGTGTGAAACACGCCCATTCCTCCGGAGGTACCACCAGGCACCTCATCCCCCCGGGGGTGCCCGAGCCGCGGGGCGCCCGGGGCAGCGCCGCGCCCGCTCCCCGGGGCCGGACCGCGCTCCCGCAGCCCGGCGCTCGCTCCGCACCCGCGGAGCCGCCCGCAGCGCCGGGCGGAGGCCGCCGCCCCACACAATGGGCACAGGTGCATCGCTCCGCGCCGCGACCGCGCCCCGGCAGCCCCGCACGCCGCAGCCCCCGAGTAGGACAAGGCAGGGCAAGGCAGGGCAGGCACGGCCCCGGCCCCGGAGCTTACCTGTTCTCCGCAGCCTGGCGGGCACCTCCTCACTCAGACCTGCCGGCCGGGCGCGGAGGGAAGGCGGCGGCTCGGAATGGGAAGCGGCCAAAGAGCGGCGGCTTCCGCCCTCCCCCCGCGACCACCCGGCTGTAGGCGCAGTAGTTGCCGCAGAAAGCGGCTCTGCTGCCTTTGTTACGCCTCCCCTGGCTGTAGTGCGCTGCTGGGGAGCCCGGGCTGCAGCTGCTTCGCCTTTCTTCTGCTGCTGCCGGTTGCAGTGATTTGCATTAGCCCGGCCCTCATTGAAATGCGGCTCTTCACACCAGCCTCTCCCAGGCGCTCTCCAGAGGGCGGCGCCGCCGCCGCCGCTGTCTCCCCCTCTCTCCCTCCCGTTGTGGGCCCGCTCTTCCATCGGCGCTGCGGGAATGCCGTCGCCGGAGCCGCTCCGGGCAGCGTGCCCTGCCCGCGCCGCGCCGGGTGCCAGCCCAGCCCTGCCGGGACCGTCGGGCACTATCCCGGCGGGCTCTCCTCGGGGCACATCCCGGCCGCACCGCGGGTCGCTGCCCGCCCGGCGCCTCCCTCCGCCCCGGCAGCCCCGGCCGGTGAGACGTGCCCGATCCGGAGCTGCCTGTGCCCGGGGCACAGCTGTGCCTGGCGGCGGGGGCATCTGGCCCGAGTCCGAAAAACGCCTTGGGAAGTAATTGTAGCAAATGGGTATGTTGGCATTTCTAGGAGATTCGCCTGGGCGCGAGGTACTGAAATCCCACCTAGTCCCCAAAGCCCTATATGGGTGCTTTGGTTTGAATGCTGAAGGTGGTGGGATTGATGTGGAATTTAGGTATTAAAAGCAGTGTAGAGATGCTTATTCATACCACTCGCTTAGTTACAGCTGACCTTGGAGGTGACTAACCTCCACAGATGCTACAGTTTTTAGGCTGAAATTTCTCAGAACATGTATTTGGCCAAAAGCATCTCAGGCTTCATCTGAGTCACCCAACCCCTGAGCCCACCAGGTCTTGGAGCATGTTTGCTAAGTCAACTTCCACACAAAAATTCAGCCATACTTGATGCTTTCTCCTCACAGGCTTGTTATTCTTCACTTTAATGTAAAAATTTCAGTGGTGAGATCCTCCTCAAGATAAAGGATCTGGTTTGCTCCCCTTTGTGCAACAAATACTTCAGCCCTCTTCTGCTTGTCAGGTAAACAGCCTATGGTCCAGGGGGACATGGAAGGGAAGAAAACACAGTCTGTCCCTTCTGTTGGAGCTGCTCCACTCTGAAAGAATTAAAAATGCATTAGATCAGAGAGAGGGAATTGGACTGTAACCTCGTGGTTATGGCACTCATTTGGGAAGGACAAAAGATGGCTTTGTGTGTCTGTATTACGGACAATTCATGTGTTTTATATCCATAAATCCAGAGACAATCAGTGGAGCAGGGACTTAAGCCCAGGGTGCCCTGCTCCCTTTGATAGACCTTTAATCAGAATAGAGGCTCCTGTTTAATCTCTCTGAAGGCAAACCAATCCTTCCATCTACAAAAAATGTAAGAGGCTCAAAAGAAGGGGATGGAGCACTCCCTTTCTTTTCTTTTCCCCTAGAGAAGTCCACATGTAGGTTCTCAGGAGACAGGAGATTCCCTAAAGGAGAAAAATTAATTGTTGCCCTGTCTTCATCATCCTGGTGGAGTTTTTTAATCATTAAAGAACAGAGCAAACAGGAGTTTTCTGGTTACACATTTTCCCCTAGATTTGAAAGAGAAATGACCACCTAAAACCCTCAGAAAAACCTCTGCTCAGAGGAGTAATAGTATTAAAATACTTGAACATCACAAAGAATCAGAATTCAATTATTCAATTTTGTGTCCTCAGCACACTCTTATCACCTGGCTTAGTTTGTGGATCTTCCTTCTAAGGCACTTGACTCTTCCCCTATGGACAATGAGGTGCAGAGTCACTTTATAGTAAAGACTTGGTTTTCAGGTGCAAGTTCCTAAAAATGAGCATGTCCACATTGAGTATTTCACCAAGCTTTTTAGTCTGTTGGGTTTGAAAATGTCCTGGCCTATGCTTAGACAAAACAGATACCAGTGATAGTGGTAACTTTGGTGTATTCAGGGGGAGAATGGAAACTAATATTAAAAGAATTCTGGTAGCCTTAGAACAAAACTTTATTCTTTGAACCACTTCTTTTTTTTTCGGCCAACAATCAAATAAAATATTCATGACAGTCTTAAATGATAAAAAAAAAAAAAAACAGGCAGTCGCAAAGATTAGAGATGGAAAATACCATTGTGGTCCTGAAAAAGGAGTGTTCTTTAACATTCTTCAGTGCTATTTTGTTCAGTTCATTTTAAATGACTCATTTGAATGTCTTGGGGTTTGTGCTCCCCAAAGGAAACATGCCTTTAAAGTTGAATTCCTCCAATGATAGGGATTTTTTTTTCCTGCTGATCAGGTTAATGGAAGTTTCTTATGTTTCAACTCATTACTTTAGCTATAGTGCCCTGTATTCACGTACATAATTTATTTCTCCCATTGGTGTTTACATCTCTCTGACATGTATTATTAACATCTAGCCTAAGTGTTCAAAATATTTCACAGATGTTCAAGAAAGACCTTCATTCTGACTATATCAAATAAAGGTCAAAAGAAAAGAGTACAGTATAAATTAAGGCAAGAGTATAAACCCAGTAGGAAAGTATCTTTTAAAATATGTTGTTTTGTTCATTTGAAGTTTTGTGTCTAACATAAAGACACAACACAATAGTGTAGTCTGTTTGTCAAGCATTCTTTCCGTGCTTTTATTTTTAAAGCACTTTAGAATATGCTTTACCTTTTTTCCTTGTGTTTGTTCTCTATTTGAATTAAAACAATGCAATTCCAAACAGAAACAAAACCTGAATAAAACATTTCAACAGCTATAGAATCATCCTGTATACTGTTTTCCTAACAGAAAATTGTCTTTCCTTGTTGGACAGACTTTGAGATACTGTGTATTTCTAAGACCTCTGTAAATTCATCATTATAAACCACAGTACAGTCATTTAACTTTGGATAAAGTAAGTGACTTTGACTTCTCATCTCTGTTGATCAGGTTTTTCAGATCTAAGAGTCTTCCAGCAGTTTCAGCTTTTCTGAACATTTGTAATTTTTGAGCACCCTTGTCAAAGTAGAATCGGATACAGTTATGTCACCACCCAACACTCCTGTGTCTTGAAGGCTGTACCAAATGCCTTGGAACATTGTTCTGGGAGCTTCTCTTTAGTTGGCTAACCACTGTGACCCCTAATTCCTTTTCAGAGTCACCGCTTTCCAGGACACAGTCTCCAGTCTTCTAAATGTGACCTACATTCTTTGTTCCTGCTGAACAACCTTGCATTCAGCTGTCTCAAAAAGCACGTTCAAATGATCCTGGCTCACTAAAGGATGTCAATTTCCCTACAGAAAAACTGTTTTTTCTTTGCATTATTTAGTGCTTTATGCATTTCATGTCATCTGAAAACTTTACCATTAATGTTGTTAAACATTTCTTCAGATCACTCATAAATTTATGCAGTAGTGGAGGACAGCATTTTCTGAAATGCGGGGCTCAATCCCCCACGGCAGCAGTGTCAAGGGTGTGTTTACAGCTCACTCCACTTCTCATCACAGAAGCACTCAGCTCTCAGGATGCCACACCAGGCCAAAGGAACTGGTGCTAACGCTGCTGCATGTGCCCAGCTCAGCAAACAGCCGGTGCCAGCTCCCAGCAGGGATCTGAGCAACTGGAGCGGCACCAGCCAGCTGGGCACTGCAGAGCCGTGCGCCGGCCCGGGCTGGGCTGGGAGTCCTGGCACCAGTCATACGTCGGGAAAAACTCACTTCTGAGAAACAGCAGAGCTCTACAAATTCCTCAGGCATTACCCAAGGGATGGTGGTTAGCTGTTCATATTCGCATTTGTAGATCCGCCATTTAGCTGTTTCACAATTAATTATTGTGTGTTGCACCGATTCTGTACAATGCCAGTCACTTAATTAGGTTGATATACTGCTGGATGTCTGTCACTTTACAGAAGTGTATGTCAGTTGCAGTCATCTTCATCAATCACATCCAACAATTTCACCCAGAAAGCTGCCCAGTTTGACATGCTCGTTGTCACTAATTACACAATCATTTTTTGTATTGATTACATCACGCACCAGGACTCCATTTGTTTTACCTGCTAGTGGTTCCAGCACAGATAGAATTATAAAATCAAGGTTGTATTTTTTGTGTTGTCCAAATGTAACCTTGGCTTTATCCATGTTTTACATCCTTAACATACTAGAATTTCTTGAATAGCAGTGTTATTGTTCATGCAGACCAGTAATAATTTCTTTTTAAATTACTCATGTACTAAAAATTATTTCCATATTATTTTAGGCAAAAACATATGGCATTCATATGACTGGGATGTGACCATATTATGAAGAAATATTAGTTGAATATTTCTGTCTGTTCTGCATTGTTATTGTAAAATTTTTCAGTGTTAATTTCTCATATGTTTGTCATTGATACTTCATTTGTCACAGACTTACAATAATGGGCAAAAGAAAAGTTTTTGCTAGGTTATCTGTCCTGTATTTCTCTTAATTGAGGCTGTGTTAAAAAAAAACAAAAACAAAAACAAAACAAGACTCTCTCTAACTGCACAACTGGATTTTTGAACCTGGTCAAATCATTCACTGTTACAGACTTTTTTCCTCATTTGTTTTCTTATAAGTGACTTTTCCAATAAATGAAGCTTTTTAAACTGCAGACCAGGAGTTAATTCTGTTTACATAGAGCAGATATAATTACATGCTGGTCATTGGATAAAACATTCTTAAAGTTATTTCTACATCTTTGTCCAGTGGAAAGAGATCTCATTGTAAAAGGAGCACATTCCGTATTGGAAAGTTATCTTATTTCACTTTCTGATATTCTATGAATGCTTTAATCATGTCAAAACAAGACCTCCAGCATGGCTTAAGAGATTTATGTCTCTTATTGTTCTTCCAGGTATTATTATTTCAGGTACGAGTAAGGACATGTTTAAAGAGCTGTTTTGCTGATTTGATTTGCCTGTATGGGTTACCAAATTAAACCTAAAGCCCTGTCTTTTGGGTTTATAAATTATAAATTAGCCATCCATGTGCCAAATCAAATCCTTCCTGTGAAACAACTCTATTCATCTCCAAATATTCTCCATCATCATGTAGTATAAAAAGATATATATTTGAGTAAACTCTTCCTATAATTTTTCTTCT